ATATGGAAGAGCACATACAGAAAAAATCACCTCTAATTCTACCACCCACATAATAAAAAATCACTTTTCACATATTCTGTCACAGTCTTTATATACATATTTTTTGGGGGAAGAAGCAACTTAATAGTTACTCTTCTCACAAAAAAAAAAAATGGAATTCTTCTCCTAACAACAAAATGAATTTAAAACTTCTTTCTTATCTGTTTCAGTATCTGATATAGTATCACAGCTATCCCTAAGTCTCTAGTTACCCTCACCCCAAAATCAACCTAGGCTACCTCTTGACCCATTTGTATTTTTCTGTCTATGCTATATTTTAACATAGATGAAATCAAGTTATATGTATAATATTGAATTCTGATTTTTTAACTTTATATAAGCTTTTTCCCATGTCATTAAAAGTTTTTTAGCTAAAGCTCTTGTTTGTCTGTTTTGAGATGGAGTCTCGCTCTGACACCTAGGCTGGAGTACAGTGGCGCCATCTCGGTTCACTGCAGCCTCCACCTTCCAGGTTCAAGCAATTCTCATGTCTCAGCCTTCAAGTAGCTGGGACTACAGACACATGCCACCACGTCTGGTTAATTTTTATATTTTTAGTAGAGACAGGGTTTCACCATGTCAATCAGGCTGCTCTTGAACTCCTGACCTCAAGCAGTTCACCTGCCTTGGCCTCCCAAAGTGCTGGGATTACAGGCGTGAGCTACTACACCCAGCCTCTTTTTTTTTTTCTCATTATGAAATATTTCAAATGCCTGGAAAACGTTGCTGTCTTCAACCTATTCTAGAACCTCTTATTTTTTTTATTCTACAGAAATCCCTCCTAATTTCCTTCTTTTTAATCTCTACAGAACAAGGGTCAAAAATTAGAACCCATCCCTCATCGAAGACTAAGAATGGTAGCAAATACCATTGAAGAGAATTTTCCCCTGGGGACTGTGCAGTTTTTGATGGACTTTGTGTCACCCCAGCATTACCCACCAAGAGAAATTGTGGCTCACATCATCCAGAAAATCTTGCTCAGTGGCTCTGAGACTGTGGATGTCCTAAAGGAGGCCTACATGCTTCTCATGAAAATTCAACAGTATGAACCGTAACCTCTGGCTGTTGGTGAATCTTCTAGGGATCTTGGACTCAGGGCATAGCTTTCTCTTGACAGGCTTTTTTAACCTGTTACACAGTGGGTGACTTAGTATATTAGTGTTATTTAAATTGCAAATGATAAGAAACCCAGTCCAAGCAGACCTTAACTACTGGTAAAAGAGAATGTAATGCCTCTTGTTACTAGAAACCTAGGAGTAAGATGTGACTTGATTGAGTACACAAAAATGGTTACCAGGATTCATTTTGCAGCTCTACTTTGGTTCTGTTTTGGGGCTGCGTGTGGTAGCCCTCTCACCCTCAGGCTTTTATGACACTTCCAGTGGGAGAGAGTGTCTGTTTCCTTTACAGTCACCCAAGAGTTCTGAAATTGAGTCTTGCAGGATTTAATTGGCCTAATGAGAGACATGACTATATCTTTGAGCCAATCACTGTGAATTGAGGGGTAGAACAGCATGATTGGCTAAAAAAGTCATATACTTCATTTTGGCATTCTGGTAGGTAAAACTAGTTGGTTAAGAGTAGTGAAGAGTTGGTTTCTTAAGACAAAATTATAGTACTAAAGCTTTCCAAAAGGGGAGTGGATACTGGGTAGCAAAAAACAATGAAGTTCCACTACTCTCAGATTGACATGGTATAATACCACAGGGTGAGCAAGAGCGTGGAGGATAAGAAGAGGCTTCTTCCTTCTATCACCTTCCAGATCCCATCCCTTCTCCCTCTAAATTCTCCATAATTCTAATTGATTTCACTTGACTTTCAGGCTACATCCAGCCAATGCCAAGACAGTGGAGTGGGACTGGAAACTGCTCACCTACGTCATGGAGGAAGAGGTAACAACAATTACGAGGTTATATCTTCTGTAGGGGAAGTTTTAACTGTAAAGAAAAGTGATACCAGGTGCCATGGCTCATACCTATAATCCCAACATTTTCAGAGGCCGAGGCAGGAGGACAGTTTGAGCCCAGGAGTTCAAGGCCAGCCTGGGCAACAAAGTGAGACCCTGTCTCTACAAAAATAAAAATAAAAAATTAACCAGGCATAGTGACGCATGCCTGTGGTCCCAGCTACACGGAAGCCTGAGGCAAGAGGATTGCTTGAGCCTAGGAGGTCAAGGCCAGTGATCCATGATCACAACACTATTCCAGCCTGGGTGACAGAGCAAGACCCTGTCTGAAAAGAAAAGTGACAGTAAATCTGGTAATAAAGTCTACACCATTATTCCCTCCTGATACTCCCACCCCTGCCAAAAAATTCCTATTGAAATGGTATGTGCTGTCTTCCAATTCAAGATTTAGTATGTTTACTTATCCCTCTCCTTGAGATCCCATTAAAAATAACAGTAAATGAATAGAGAAAGTTATAAATTCATGGCTATAAAAAAGGGGGAAGGATAGTGGATTTGAATGAAGATTAGGGAGACCTACAGAGAATGTAAGAGTAATGACTGATGAAGCTGGGCAGAGAAAGCCACATACATGTAGAGAGGCTACAGCCAAGGAAGGACGAATCTTCCCTTTAGAGCACCAGAGAGGTCTAGGACTTAGAAACACAGTATCTAATAGAGGGCAGGAGTCAGATGTGGGCTGTAATTGGATATTTATTTTGAAAGTTGGTGGATGGAACAGCCAACCTCTTCATTACTGAGGACAGGAGGATCAGTAGCCAGGTTACCCACCTTCAGGCAAAAAGTGAGAGAATTTATTGTCTAAAAAAGTTTAATGAGGCTGGGCACGGTGGCTCATGCCTGTAATCCCAGCACTTTGGGAGGCCAAGGCGGGCAGATCACGTGAGGTCGGGAGTTTGAGACCAGCCTGCCCAACATGGAGAAACCCCATCTCTACTAAAAATACAACATGAACTGGGTGTGGTGGCACATGTTTGTAATCCCAGCTACTCAGGAGGCTGAGGCAGGGGAATCGCTTGAACCTGAGAGGTGGAGGTTGCAGTGAGCCAAGATAATGCCATTGCACTCCAGCCTGGGCAGCAAGAGTGAAACTCCGTCTCAAAAAAAAAAAAAAATAGAAGTTGAAGGAACCATCTGTAATAAAGACAGCTAGTGCAGAGTTGATGCTACAGGAAAAAGGTCTTCCACATTCTGACCTTTAAGGATCCCCGAGTTTAATAGCCAACTTTTTGTCTGCTCACCTAAAGCAATTAGCTACAACAAATTACTTTCAACTTAGAATTCTGTACATAGCCAAACTATCAGTTAAGTGTGAGGATAGAATTAAGACATTTCCAGCTATGCAGGAATTTGAGAATATATCCCCACACCCTGTTTCTTAGGAGGTTACTGAGGTAGTGTATCAAAGGCATGAGGAAGTAATCAAAAAAAGCGGGAAGGCATGGGATGCAGGGAACATCAGATTTAATCCAGGAGAATATTGAAGAGAAGTCCCAAAATTATGATGAAGAGCGCACCTAGGAAGCAATTAGTCCAGATTGGAGTGAAATAACGGAGGACTTTAAATAGGAACAGTCTGGGAGACATCAGCAAGATGGTAGACTAGGAAGCTCCAGGCCCTTGTTACCCCATGGAGACACTGAATTAACAACCATATACAGGCCAGAATATCACTGTGAGAACTCCAGAGCCGAATTAAGAAGCTTCAGTGCCCAGGCCAATGCCTAACCCAGAGCATAGTCTATCAAAAGTGCTAGGAAAGTTTGTGGCATTTTACATGCCCATGTGCCTCTCCCTGCCTGGCAAAGCATGGTTCAACCAGGAGAAAACCTCCCATACCTTGGCTCTTCCCTTGGGCCAGAAACAAAAGAGTGGACCATGCATACAATGTACTGACTTGTATGGGGGCTGCCTGGCCGCCCACCTCAGCCTCCCAAAGTGCTGGGATTACAGGCATGAGCCACCGCGCCTTTCCTGGAGTGGGAGACTGAGGTGGGAGTATCACCTGAGGTCGGGAGTTCTAGGCCAGCTCAGCCAACATGGTGAAACCCTGTCTGTACTAAAAATACAAACATTAGCTGGGTGTGGTGGTGCATGCCTGCAGTCTCAGCTACTCAGGCACAAAAATTGCTTGAACCCAGAAGGTGGAGGTTGCAGTGAGCCAAAATCATGCCACTGCACTCTAGCCTAGGCAACAGAGCAAGACTCTGTCTCAAAAAATAAAATAAGTTATGGGTATACAGTATATAAATATCTAACTTAAGACATTGATAAGATAAATTGGGGTAGAGTAGTAAAGAAGTAGAGGTTTTTGTATGCAACTGAAGTTGTTAAACTAGATGGTTACAACTTTAAGATACGTTATGTAATCTCAATGGTAACTTCAAGTAAGATATCTATAGAATATATCCAAAAGGAAATGAGAAAGAAATCAAAGCATGTCACTCCAAAAAAAATCAGTGAAAAATGAAGGAAGGCAGTAACAAAGGAAAGGAGGCCTGAAAAGGCTACAAGACATATAGGAAATAATTAATATGGCAATAGTAAGTTCTTCCCTATCAGTAATTATTTTAAATGCAAATAGATTAAAGTCCCCAATTAAAAGACAGAGATTAACTGAATGGACTAAAAACCAGGATCCAACTATATGCCATCTACAAGAGTCTCACTTTATGTTTTCAAATACCAAACTCTTGTCGCCAGGTGCAATGGCTCATGCCTGTAATTCCAGTACTTTGGGAGACCAACGTAGAAGGATTGCTTGAAGTCAGGAGTTCAAGACCAGCCTAGACAACATAGAAAGACTCTGTCTCTAAAAAAAATTGTTTTTAATTAGTAGGCATGGTAGCACACACCTATTGTCCCAGCTACTGTGGAGGTTGAGGTGGGAGGATCCCATGAGCCCAGGAGTTCTAGGCTGCAGTAGGTTATCATAGTGCCACTACACTCCAGTTGGGTGACAGAGCAAGACCCTGTCTCTAAAAAACAAAAGAAAGAAAGACTTGCTGAAAATGAAAGGATGAGAAAAGATATTCCTCACAAATGGTAACCCAAAGAGAGCAAGGGTGGCTATACTAATAGATGACAAAAAAACTTTAAGTCAAAAACTGTTACAAGTGGCAAAGAAGGACATTATATAATAAAAGGGTCAGTTCGCCAAGGAGGTATAAAAATTACAAATATATATGCACTGGACATCAGACCTCCTAAATCTATAAAGCAAACACTGACAGAATTGAAAGAAGAAATAGACAACACAATAATAGTAGGAGATTCAATACCCCACTTTCGATAATGGATAAAATAACCAGACAGAAAATCAGTAAGAAAACAGAGGACTTGAACAATACTATAAGCCATTTCAGCATAGACATATACAAAACATTCCACCCAAAAACAGCAGAACACGCATTCTTCTCAAGTGTACATGGAATTTTCTCCAGATAGACCACAGGTTGGGCCACAAAACAAGACTTAAACAAAATATAAAAACATTGACATTATACCAAGTATCTTCCAATTACAGTGGGATGAAACTAGAAGTCAACAGCAGAATGAAATCTGGAAAACACACAAATATATGACAACTAAACAACACACAACAGTGGTTCAGAGAAAAAAAAAATCTCATGGGAAATTTTAAAATACCTTGAGACAAATTAAAATGGAAATACGACATATAAAAACATGGATGCAGCAAAAGCAGCACTAAGAAGTTACAGATGTAAATAAATGCTTACATTAAAAAAGAAGATCTCAAACCAACAACCTGACTATATCTAAAGTAGGAAAAGAAGAAACTGAACCCAAAGTTAGCAGAGGGAGGTAATAGTAAAGATTAGAGCAGAGATAAATGGAGAATAGGGAAAAAAATGAACAACACTAAGATATGAGGTTTTTAAACATTTCATTTGTTTTGAGGCAGGGTCTCACTCTGTCACTCAGGCTGGAGCTCAGTAGCACAATTATAGCTTACTGAAACCTTGAACTCCTGGGCTCAAGCCATCCTCCAGCCTCAGCCTCTCAAGTAGCTGGGACAACAAGCGTGCATCACCATACTCAGCTAATTTTTTTATTATTTTTTGTAGAGGTGGGAATCTAGCTAAGTTGCCCAGGCTGGTCTTGAACTCTTGGCCTCAAGTGATCCTCCCACCTTTGCCTCACAGAGTACTAGGATTACAGGCATGAGCCACTGCACCCAGCCACAGAGTTGGGTTTTTGAAAAGATCAAAACTGACAAACTCTTAACTAGATTAAAAAAGAGAGAAGAATCAAATTACTAAAATCAGTATTGATAGCTCAGTGATAGAATTTTTAAAAATTACTAAAATCTGAAATGAAAGAGGGGGCATTACAACCAGTGCCACAGAAATAAAAAGGATTATAAGAGAATACTGCCAACAATTATACTCCCAATAAACTGGATAACCTAGAATAAATGGAGTAATTCCTGGAAACCTACCAAGATTGGCTTATGAAAAAATAAAAAATCTGAACAGAACAATAACGAGTAAGGAGTCAGTAATCAAAAACCTTTCAGCAAAAAAGCCTGCAACAAGGTGGCTTCACTAGTAAATGTGGCCAAACATTTAAATAAAAATTAACACCAATCCTCCTCAGAGTTTTCCAAAAAACGGAAGGAGGATTTTATTTCAGCTTATTCTATAAGGCCAGCATTACCCTGTGATATGGTTTGGCTGGGTCCCCACCCAAATGTCATCTTGAATTGTAGATCCCATAATTCCCACGTGTCATGGAAGGGACCCGGTGCGGGGTAATTGAATCATGGGGGCGGGTTTTCCTGTTCTGTTCTCATAATAGTGAATAAATCTCATGAGATCTAATGGTTTTATAAAGGGGAGTTCCCCTACACAAACTCTCTCGCCTACTGCCATATAAGATGTAACTTTGCTCCTCATTCGCCTT